ATGGGCGACCCACGCCTGCGTTTTGGCCAGAGGCCGGGGCGCACACGGGGCTCGGGGACGGCACCTCCTCCCCAGTGAGCAGGACCCATGTTTGCACAACCCAGCCCGCAGCGATGGTGCAAGCGTGCTGTGGTGGGACTGGGCCGGGATGGGCACGTGGGAGCGCCGGGCACTAGTGGGAGCGCCGGGTGATGCCCCATGCAGGCATCCAGCCTGCCCGGCCGGTGGCCGGGGTGGTGCCCAGCAGGCACCGAACGGCCCCTCTCCCCTCGGGGCTGGCAGTGCCGCGCAAAGCACCCAGAGCTACCTGTCCTTCCCCAAAGCTTCTCCAGCATCAGACTTGCAGTTTCTTTATTTAAATGTAGCTGTGTTTTATTAAAATTAATTCCCTCTTTGACGTTTTCCCTGCAATCCCACAGCTTTTTTTCATAAGAAACGTGGCACTGCCCTAGCACGGCTGCTCACTCCGTACCGGCCTGTACAAACGTGCTGGAGATACGGAGTAGGTACTTCAGGTTGTAGGTGTTGTTTTAGACACAGGATTTTACTGGAGGTTTTAACAACTGCTGAACTGAGAGCCAGTGTGGGTGAAAACACCTCTCCAGGTGTATGTGTCAAGGCCACATCTTCAGCATGGGGGGTTAATTCAGATTTACTAGGAAATAAGGAATCTTTGTCCTTCCCCCACCCCAGCTAATAAGGGGGTGACAGAAACCCTGAAGAGAAAGGGGCTGATTACTTATACAGCTAAGAATAAGGACATTTTCCCATGATGCTCATCCAGGCATCATGTTTCTAAAGCACATTTTATTCTCCAGAGCAGGTATGTTTCAGAAGTACAGGGTTTGCAATGTGTCAGCCTGATTATAATGCAATTAAAATAAAAACAGCTCAAAGGGGAAGAACCCAGCAAAGGAAGCAGAGGAACTCTGCAAAAGAGGCAAAAGAAAAAAATCTCTTGGCAGCCCAGGGTGTGCCCCGCTGCCACCCGCTCCGCTCCCCCCCAGCAAAGGGGCCCAGCAGGGCACCGGTCTGGCCACGTGGCCGGTGCAGACAGGCAGTGACGAAGCCCTAGCAGTAGGTAATGGGTTTGATGAGGACGGCAGAAGCTTTGCAGTTCCCGTTGCACAGGCTGCCCCACGTTATGGCCCCCTTGACGTTCAGCCGTACAGAATAACATGCCGAGTACCACCACCCGCCCCCATAGCTGGAGGCACAGTTCCCGCTGTAAGCGTCCTGATCCAGATCTTTGGCGGAGAACTTCATGTTGTCGTGCAGAGTGCTGGGAGTCTTTGAGGCCATGGCATCCTCCGCTGTCCCCGAGTACGTTCCCAGCCTCAGCCGGTAGCCCTGGGACTCATCTTCCACACTGAAGAGGCTATAGTCTGCAAACTTGGTGGTGTTTGCGGCATCCCAGATGACAAACCTGACCTGGTAGACCTTCTGCTTGGAGATCTGATGGATGTACTCGGTGCCCAGCCAGTACTCGGTGTGCACGTTCCCAAAGCCGTACTTGTAGGTGCTCCAGGACTCAGCCCAGGTGATCTCCGTGCTCTGCCGGTTCCTCTGGATGACCGTCCAGCCCCCGTCCGTCACGTTCATTTCGCAGTACACCACGATGGGGTGCAGTCCTGTGGGCTGGATGATGTAGACGCCGCTGGGGCTGCCAGCAGGGATCTCGCTGCAGTCCTTGGGCCAACCTGGGGCGGGAGAGAGGGTAATTTAATAAGACCCTGTGCAACAAGACAGAGGCGCATCCCATAGTCCTTTTTCTGTGGCTGGTCCTGCAAGACCAAGACGTTAATGAGACCTGGATTGCCTGAAGAGCACAGATCATGCGAACGCCATCCTCACCTGAGCACACAACGCCTGCATCCTCGCTGTGCCTGCAGTTGTGCTCTCCCCAAGCCTGCAGCGAGCACTCAGTGAGGAGCTCCTCCTCCCCATTGCAGTTAACGTCGTCCAGCCAGATAGTCCCAGAGCCACTCCCAAAATAAGCATTACTTGGGGCTGATACTGCCTCTCCACAGCCGAGCTGCCTACACACCACAGAGGCATCTCTCATGTCCCAGCTGTCATCACACACCGTTCCCCACTCATTGCGGTACCAAACCTCCACCCGTCCAGAGCACTGGTTGGAGCCATTCACCAGCCGGAGCTGACCTGGAACATGGAAAACAACAGTAGGGAGGAGATTTGGAAATGGTGGGGGGATGTCACCAAAGAAAGATGGAACGCAGATCAGGAGGTACTTTCTTGCTCAAGAAGTGGAGTCCAGGCAGTAAGATGTAGGGCCTTTACACCGCTGATCTTGCTCCTGGCTGGGGAAGGTGCCTAGGAGCCTTTGTCTTCTGAAGTCTCCATTTCCAACTATTTTTGGTGTGTTGTGGCCCCAGAGACTGGGTGCGGGTTTGCCATGTGTTCCCTCAGCCAAGTGGGCATCAGCCATCCTCTCCCACCACTGCAGGAGCTGAGTTTCATCCTCCTGGGACTGCGAGTACCCCGGGAGCAAGGCTGAGGGTGAGACAGGGGATGGTGCAGTCTGGTGAAGTACCCTCAGACAAGGGTATTTCACAGGAAAAGGCCACTTTTCTAGTTCTTAGACATGGGACGAGCGAAATAGCTGGGGATGCTGGTGGCAGGAGAACCCTTCCCTTCTCCTGCATCTTTCCCAGTGACTGTCCCTACTGTCCTCCCACGGGGCAGGGGGGGTGTGGGGAGGGACAGCCTTGGCTTCGGGAGGAGATCAGAGCAAACCCTCTGGGCTTCTCCACACCTACACATGAGCAGAAAGGCCTGTGACTGCAAGGTCCCACCAGACATTTGAGGAAGGGCAGCTGACTCATGCGGGGGCACGTATCTCTCTTGAGGGGATGCTGGGGCTCTGCTGACAGCTTGCGGGGAGCACCGGGTTGGAAGATGCCCTCCCCAACAGCCCACTCCAGGGTGGTCCTCGCTGTGTCCTGCTGGCAGAGGTGGAGACCTTCCACGTACCTACCGTTCACTAACGTGTTCAGAGCAGACACGGTGTTATTCAAGACAGATTGATTGAAGAGGGACAGGCTTTGGATGCTCCTGGTGAGATGTGGAGCAGGCAGGGCCAACACACAGGCAAGGAGCAGGAGGGGAGCGCACTGAGCAGCTGGGGGAGGAAGGGACAAGATGAGAGTCAAACAGAGCATCCCACTGCTGGTGTAAAACACACAGCGGGGAACCAGCTGCAGTGAGGTGAAACAGCTGCAAGTCGCCCCAAACCTGCGAGGACAGCACAGGATTGCCTTTCGGACACAAATCTTGTAGCCAGACTCTTTGCTGTTCCCAGGCTTTCTGGCAGAGCCCAAGGTGCCCAGGAAATTTGGGGAGCAAAATCAAGCAATCACAAGAGATTCCTTTGCAGATCAGAAGAAACTTGACCAAAGTGTTTATCTTTAAGCACAAAATTTAACAGAAACCTTGCAGAATATTTTCTGCCTCTCCAGCTCACTGAACAGCTAGATGGTATTCCTATACTCTGGAAAATCCAAATAAAAACCCCAAGTTATAATCAAATAAATATAATAATGTTATTCAACTTAATTATAATAATAGTTATCCCAAGATTAAAATCTGAACATTCATTTAAAGATGGCACCACAGCTGCACCTCTGGGGGTTACAGCAGGGTTGGATTGTGAAACATCTGGAAAGGGACGACTTTTCCAATAGTGCCTCTATTTTGGACACCCCACAATGATCGACCCTTGGTAGCAATTGGAAACCTATGCTTTTCATATACCGGTAAATTCAATTTTACATTTTTAACACATTTACACTTAGATTTATGACTCTGCTGAGCTAGAAATAAAGCGCAGTGACTATCTGCTAGACATGAACCTGTCCCTTCCTCTGAACCTGTCCCTGCTGTGCCGGGACAGAGGGGCACTTCT